AAAAAAAAAAAAAAAAGATATCTCAGAGACTTGCTATAAGGATAAAAGGAGCTGTAATGTATTATGTTCCCTATGTGAAGAGTAATACAATTAAGGTTGTATTTCACTTATGGGGGACAGGGCACACATCAAACAGAGGGTGGTGATTAGCCCATCCCTTGAAAGATGGGTAGGATTCCAGCAGAATATTGGAGGGCATTCTAGGTAAAGGAAATATCTTAGCAAAAATGTGGTAGTGGGATGACAAAAAAATGCAAATCAGAATGTCCTGGAAAGGTAGTTAAATGTTTTTGGTTGAAGTTCAAGTTATCTCAGTAGTGGTAGAAGAGGCTAACATGGTATTTTGTAGCCAGTTCGTGGAGAGAGCTTTGATTGTCACATCTAAGGAAGTTAGATTTTATATAGGATATAAGGGTAGATAGGAAGGATCCAAGTCTGTAGATGATGAGGCCACAGCTCTTCCAGAAATGAGATAAGTACAGAATGTCTGGTTTGGAAAGGAGAGAACAGCAGTAGCAGAAAGTCAAGTTGTTTGTTTATCATTTGTATCTTCATTATAAAGTAGGATCGAAGAATGTATGTTTCAGAACTCCCAGTCTTAGGTTCAAAGGGCCCTGTCCATGCCAGTCCCTCCCAGCCTCCCTCATTTTTCATTACCACCCTGACTTCAGGCTTAGCTCCTCCAAGGTACTTTGCTCTAAGTTTAACCACATCTAGGATTTTGCTTTTGCTTGGCTTTTGCTGTTGCTCAGGACCACATTTCTAGCCCTCTTTGTGCGTAGTGGGCCCCAGTAGAGATTACAGAATCATGGAGCAAAATTAGCTGGGCATGGTGGCACGCGCCTACAGTCCCAGCTCCTGAGGAGGCTGAAGCTGAAGGATTGTCTGAGCCCAGGAGGTCAAGGCTGCTGTGAGCCATGATTGTGCCACTGTACTCTAGCCTGGGTGACAGAGTGAGACCTTGACTAAAAAAAAAAAAAAAAACGTAAAAAGGTGGAAAAGATATGTCATGCAGATATTAATCGAAAGAAAGCAGGAATGGCTGTATTAATATCAGATAAAGTGGCTTTAGAGCAAAGATAATTACCAGATTTGGGAAAGTGCATTATGTAGTGATAAAATAGTTGTAATTGACCAAGAAGACATAGCAACCATAAATGTATGATACCAAACAACAGAGCTATCATACATTTGAAGCAAAAACTGATATAACCGGAAGAAGTAGAAAAATCCACAATTGTACTAAGATAATTCTACACTCCTTTGCCAACAATTGATAGAACTAAGCAGAAAATTAACACAAGGATACAGAAGACCTCAACAACACCATCAACAAACAAGATCTAATCAACATTTGTTCCACCCAGCAACAGCAGAATCCCCCTTTTTTCCAAGTGTCCATAGAACATACCAAAGTAGATCATTGCCCTGGGTCCTAAAACAACTTCAATACATTTAAAAGAATTGAATAATATAGTGTATTCTTCAGCCAAAATGCTATCAAACTAGAAATCAGTAGCAGAAACATAACAGAAAAATCTCCAAATACTGGGAAACTAACTAAACAACACACTTTTAAATAAATAATCCATGTGTCAAAGAGGAAGTCTTGGGAAAATTTTTAAAACACACTGAACTGAATTAAAATGAAAAAAGAATCTTAGCTAAAACAATGCTAAGAGGAAGATTTATAGCACTGAATGCATATATTATCAAAGAGAAAAGGTCTCAAATTAATAGTTAAGTTTCCCCCAAGAAACTAGAAAAAGAAGAGTAAAATAAACCCAAAGGAGGCAGAAGGAAGGAAATATTAAAGAGCAGAAATCAATGAAATTAAAAAGAGAAAAATCAATGAAACAGATCTGTCTGGTTCTTTCTAAAGACCAGTGGAATTGACAAACCTGTTTCAAGATTGACAATGAAAAAAGAACACAAACTGCCAACATCAGGACAGTGAATAACACCACAGACCTTTATAATTATCCAATTTTCAAAACAGATACCTCCAGATCCAGGTGATATGGAGAATGTATCACTGGAGAATTCTAACAAATGTTAAAGAAGGATTAAAATCAATTATGCACAATCTCTTCCGGAAAACCGAAGAGGAGGGAACACTTCCCAATTCATTTTGTAAAGCTGGTATTGCATTTTGTAAAGCTGGTTTTGGTTTTGATACCAAAAAAAGATGAAGACAATTAAAAAAAACTGCAGACCAGTATCTCTAATGAATATAAATGTAAAAATCCTTGACAAAATATTGGGGAATAAAATTCAGCAATATATAGAAAGAATTATACACCATGACCAAGCAGAGTTTACATTAGTAATGCAAGGCTGGTTTGATATTTTAAAAATCAATCAATA